TTCTTACAAGAACATCGAAAGCGATTAAATTTGTGCTTGTAAAGTGAATAAATCCTTAGGAAATGGCTGAACAGAAACTTTACTGACTTGTGTATTTCTAATTTATAGATATTACTCTACTGTAATTTTTAATTCTTTTATTTTTGTCGAAAAGGGTGAGAAATCTACATGCATATTAATCTGTAATTTTTTAAGAGAGATTTTTCAAATATAAAGTGTATATGCATGGGTACTTGGCAGTAGACTAATAATCGTTTATTTGTACATACTTAATTTTGTAATTTTATATTGGGACAATAAAGTAACATTCTGCCTTTATATTTTATATACTGTGTAGAATTTAATTGTAATTTTAATATTGCTTTATACTATGTCACATAATACTGTGAACAGTATACAGTATTATGTAACTGATGGCATTTGCTTAATAAATTCTATTTTAGGCCCTCACAGTGGAAGAGGTTCACAAAGCCATATAAAACTTACATTTTATTATTAAAAATATGATAAATTCTGTATTTTTTTAGTAAATATGAATAAACCTTGTTGTTAATAAGGTAATAACAAGAGTAGATTACTCTTGTACTCTAAATAATACTTGTTTGTACAGTACTTAACAGTTGTAATGTAAAGACAGACAATACAGTGTAGGCTGTTTGATTTAAAAAGAATCTTAATTAGCATTAATAAAATCCAATTCCTTCATGTATAAATGTTAATAAAATAATAGTCTACTATATATTAATTGATTGCTTGTGATATGATTTATTATTCTGCATACAAATCCCACTTAAAACCAATATAAACATAGGATGATAAAGTTAGTGTTGCGCAACGATTGATAGCAGGGCCTCTTGCAACAACCTCCAATAAGGGAACAGAAAATAAGCTCGATTCCGACACTATATTTAATTCAGGCATTGCAGACGTGGAGAAATCTCCATTGTTCTAGATGAGGTGCGAACCCACAACCCGAACTTGACCATTAGTTTCAGGGGACTCCATCACTTGGCCATTGTTGAAACGAAATATATTGCTAGTTTAAAGATTGAATATAATGAAAATTCTTAAATTTTACATAATGTTAATATTTCTCTAATTACTTGCGTTTATTATATCTAATTATTTTTAATTTTTCGCGAAAAATATATTTAATATTTTAACATTATCTTTAAAATTACAGATACACGACGATTTCAGTTCTGTTTGTAAAATGTATTCCGCTAATTTACAACCAGAATTCAAGTTCAAGGTTAGATTTTAATTTATATTTCGTCGGTTATTTATCAGGTAATTTACAATTGTTTTAAAAATTTTGCGTAGATAATTGATTTTATGAAAAGATTTAAAGGATTGCCAATGGGAATTTCTGTTGCCGATTTCTTCTTCATAAAGAGAAACTTCCTGATAAGAGTAAGTACGAAATGTTGTTATTAGTTTGTTAAAAGTAATTTCTTTCTATTTCTTGCAGGTGGTGAGCGCTCTTTATTCCACTTTCTCCTCTATGGTGCAACTGAGCGGTGTCTTGGACAAAAATATAAAATGTTCAAGAAGTTCTTTACGAAATAATAATACTTACACTTAATTTAAATTTACGTATCGATATACGTTTGAAATAAACACTGGCTTTAACAAAGAATTAATTGAAAGTATGAAAAGTCTATGAGGAATATAATTATTCTCAGTAGAGATTTACAGTATTACAATGCTTGCTGCTAGACAACATTTTGTGCTATTATGCGCTTTAGTAGACAATGACTGCATTCAGCAGACTCAACAGTTCAGGATCTGTTCGGTATTTCTCTTCTGAACGTTCTCCACAGTAGCGCTGTTTCGGAACGTGTTTGGTGTTTAGAGGTCTCATTTACACTATCTATCGCTAGCTGCAACTGACCGACGATGGCTGCTTCCTGTTCCAACGCATATGTCACTCATCATTTAGCAGGTGTAACTACGTAACAGCTATCGATTGAACTACCTTTGCTCAGTTACAACTGTTGACTCTGCTGAACGCAGCCAATGCGAGGAACAACGAGAAAGCAGCCATATCGGAAAAGAAGTACTGTACCAACAGATATTATAATGATTGTATAAATTTCACTACTCATCTTTCTACTTGTTACAGATATTTTGCTTATAAATTCCTAGTAAAATTATAATATTCAATACTTACAGTACCTTCACATACATAGGTACCATCGTTTCAGATTCAATGTATCGAGACCGTTTGCTACTTTTCAAAAATTTTAATGAACCTTGCTTAATCTTGAATATTCACGTAAGTGGTTGTGTGCTATATAAACCCCGTTATAAAGAATTCTAGACTCATTGCAGAAAAGATGGTACTTTATTTCAACCACGTGAATGTTAAACGTTTATATTAATTATTCAATTAAAATATACTACAATTACTTTATTACGATATCAGTGACGCAAGAATCTCTATAAATATAATGATAATTGTGCAATTATTTGTGTTTTTATTTACAGCGGTATTATTATAAATATACAATAGTGTGTAACTTCATTTAAGTATGTATACTCACACACTGTACAAGTACGTAAAAACGAAAGATATCTTAGATAGTTAAGACACATAAACCTACGAGTGGTGAATATAGAATCTATATATAGAAATATTTACTCTTGTTTAAAAAGGAGTGTTATGCCTGTGTTCCTTATTTATGAAAACACATTCTTTTTTTTGTTTCTATGCCGTGTTTACATGTAACCCAGTGTTTCTCAACCGGGAGCGATATCGCCCCCATGTGGGCGTTTTGTAACAATTTATATTTTGGGGGGCGAAAAACAATTTTCTGGGCGATATAGTAAAACATTATATTAAGAACAATTAGATATTTTATTCGTTATATCGTACAATAATTAAAGAAATAACATTATACTAGTCACTAGTCTATTCAATGCAGTACGAATTTGGCGTTAGCCTTGGCCCTCCGCATCGGAATTTTGAAGTGAAGGGGGCGATCATTCGTTAGAGGTTGAGAAACACTGATGTAACCGGATATTTTTTTGAAAGGAAATACATTTCCTGGAAGGAGTATAGATAATAATGGCGGTTTCATGCTCTCAACAGATTCGTAAGTAGCTGCATTATACATTAAATTACTTTATGAAAATCGATTAAAGTGTAAGATAGAATACGAAATTAGTATAATTCTCATTTTCATCATTAAGGAGAATATAAGTAAATGGTCGTATATAATTGTCAACCCTCTAAAGCATCGGTAGAATAATTAAGGATAAATTAAAAATTAATAATACATACCGGTGGGCCAGGCGGACCTGGCCTACCTGTTGCACCAGGAAATCCTCTTTCACCCTGTAAGGTGTTAAGAATGAGAATTCGTTGTTAAACTAAAAAAAACATTCATTAATAAAAAGCTTACCTGCGGTCCTCGTTTACCTAGTATACCGGGTGGGCCTCTTTCACCTGTATCACCCTTTCGAGAACGAGTCAATGATTTAGTCACCGAATTTTAGGCAAAGAGGAATCGAGTTACCTTAATAATATTTACCTTTTTCCCGGGATTTCCTTCTTGTCCGGGAGGTCCTTGAGGCCCGGGTGGTCCCTAAAACAAGTCGATTTTTTTTAAAGTAAAAATTAAAAAAAAAATAAACTCTTCTTCTAATTTTGTTTAATTAAAATTGCTTACTGGAATTCCAGGTAAACCATCTCTTCCAGGTGGTCCTGGTGGACCGCTTCCCTAAAAAAAAAATCAGTTTAAAATTAGGGTTTAGAGTGAAGTCAAGGGTTATTGTTGAAAATTTTAGCTTACATCAATCCCATTTGAAGAGCCTGGAGGTCCCGGTGGCCCTATTAATCCTGGAGGACCCTTAATAAAAATAATATTTGCTTACATCCTCCTGTACAAATATAAATACATTTTAACTTAAAATATGAATTACCTGCGATCCTGGTGTACCTATTGGGCCAATATCACCTTTTTCGCCTTTTATTCCCTAAATTTAGGGTAATTATTTTTAATTTAAAGATTATTTGTATGAAGAATGATAAAAATCTTCCATTTAACTTATGGCTATATTTAGTAAAACTACCTTAAGGGAAGATTATAATTATTGAGCTAGAATTACGAGTATCTAAGGGCATTCTAGTTATAAATTCAAAAATATAGTGGCATATACTTATTAAAGGAGGAAAATTTTATGTATCACTGTCAAAAATGGTAATCATTTTATGGTGATGACAAACCAGTGACAGTTTATTGACAGAAGAGACTGAGTTACAAGTGAAAAAAATCTACATATAGGCCTATATATATTTAAATCAAACAAAATGAATTAAATTTAATATGTTACATTTGTACAAGGAAATGATAAAAAAATTCAATGATTAAAAATACAATTTATTTTTTGTTGTTAACTCAATTTTACTTTCCCGGCTGTTATATAACAATATAAGTATGGCGAGAGGTTAACAAATGAACCCCCAGATTTTTACAATTTGGACACAGGGGACCTTGAAACGTCGAGAAATGCAAACAAAATTTGGGTTTTCTCCCCTGTATATATGGTTTCATCTGTATGTATTTTCTGTGTGTAGGGGGCAGTATTTTGTTTGCCTAATTTGAAGCTTAATAACTCCTATGCCTTTTGTGGAAAATTTCTGAAATTTTTCACGGAGATTTATGTACTAGGAGGTAATGTTTCTAGAGATTTTCAGGAAAATCGAACCATCGGTTCGAAAGTTATGGGAACTAAACTCCTTAATATCTCCCGAACCAATCTGAAGATTTATAAGGTCATGGTAATCCCTATATAATTGAGATGAAAACAAATAAAGAATGAGAGAAAAATCCTTTTTTTTGTTATTGGATTCTTCTTTAAATATATAGGCTATATTTTTTAAAAAATAAAACAATAAAATATTGTACGCGTGCTATTCTCTCGGATTCATCATTAAATTATCTGATGCGAAACAAATTTGACGTCCTCATGACCTGTTCCTTAATCTGCCCTCTAATTCCCAGTTATGGTTAGAAGTGTTATGAGGTGTGCAACTACCCTGCAGCCATTTAATTCGTTGTACAATTTCCACTACTCGCTGATTATTGGGCGAAACAAATTGTAGTCCTCGAATGTAATAATTCAAAGAAAATTGAATATTATTCTTGTTTTCGATATTAAAAATTACTATAATTACAGTATCGAAAAACTATTCTTAAAATGTATATATCGAATTTGTTATAAATGACAATTTAAGTGGTTTAAAATCGTTTTAAAAAAGCTAGAACGCTTTTTCTGGACTTTCCTGGCATTTTATATTTATTTTCATCCATAATAATTGTTACCTTTACCTTTAAGTCTTCGAATTGGTTCGGGAGATATTAAGGAGTTGGGAGCCATAACTAACGAACCGATGGTTCGATTTTCATGAAAATCTCTAGAAACATTACCCCCTAATACATAAACCTCAGTGCAAAATTTCAGAAATTTTCGACAAAATTCACAGGAGTTATTAAGCTTCAAATTAGGCAAACAAAATCGTACCCCCCCACACACACTGACATCTATACATACAGAAAAATCCCTAATTTTTTTTTTATATTTCTCGACATTTCTCGAGTTTACAAATATAAAAATCTTTGGGAGTCATTTTTGGAGCCATAGCCATACTTTATACCTAACAGCCAAAAAGTAATTGGAAAAGTGATTCAGTCCATTCTGATGGAGAAATCTAAAATTTCTGAAAATATATTATTTAAATAATGAACGTAACATTGTTAATAAAATATAATAACATTAAAGGAGATAATAACTATAATAAAACCCTTAAAGAGAGGACCCATCAAGTCATTATCTTCAGAAGGAGTTCAAGCTTTAAGTAAATAAAATGATTTAGGTGTGTCTTTACTTACGGGTGGTCCAGGAGTTCCAGGTAAACCGTTCTCTCCTTTTTCACCCGGAGGACCCTATTAACAAATATAAATATCAAAGAATCTTCTAAAAGCTTCTAATTATCTAATAATATGAATAATGATAATATTAACTCAATAAAAGGGAAGGAAGAAAAAGGGTGCGATTTAATTAATGTATGAGTAAGTTTATTAATAAAACTACCGGTAGTCCAAGAGCTCCAGGAGATCCTTCTGGTCCCGGCGGGCCTGCTAAACCCTAAATTTAACAAATATATTATCACAAAATGTTTATAAATATTAATGAAAACGAGTTATAAACCTAATATTCTGTATTTACTTACTGGCACACCACGTGTTCCAGGTTCACCCTTCTGTCCTTGTGTTCCTGGATAGCCCGGAAATCCTGTTTCTCCTGCTGGTCCTGGAGGACCAGGGGGACCTGCAGGACCCTATTTAAGATTTTTTTATTTATTTTTTCACGTCAAAAGTGTTTTTATATATTTTTGTAACCAAACTCTTACTTGAGTGCCATTGAATCCCGGTGCTCCAGCGGGGCATATTTGACACTTCTGTTCTTCAGCCGGTCTAGCTTTGAGGGGCTAAAAATGTGTTTAATTATATTTTTTTTTATAGGCAAGGGTCCTAAAATACTTAAATTTACATCTACAAATTTATAGTTATACCTGCAACTCATTACAAGTCTCTCTTTCTGGTCTCGTTGGATCACAGTTCATCACTAACCATTGCAAATCGATCTAATACGAAGAATTCAAGCCATTAATTATGCTAAATTAAGCATTTTTTAAGTTTATAAACCATAAAATAAAGAAATTATATAGTAAATTTTTTAAAATAATTGGCGATTAGGGAGAAATTCGCGTTTTAAAAATTCCTTCCTTGACATTAAGTGAATGATTGATAGACAATATTATAAGTTATATTTATCCATATAATAAATTTAAAATTGCATTCTTCTATTATTATTAGCCATTATCGAACAAAGAAAGAGGGGAATTTACGAAATTATTTCATTATATAAGACCATGAAACGTACTTACAGCAACAGTAACGTCACTTGGAATATATTTGGCAATCATGATGTTACCATTGACATCAATGGGCCCTCGTGGATCTAATGGTAAAGTCGACTGACGTTTACAATCTATATACAAAGTCACTCGATCCTGATAAACGCTCAGATCTAATTTGTGCCATCCTTTATCTTTAATCTATAAACATTATGTGGGATGTAACTACTTACACTCAAATTAAAATATTTTAAGAATAAAATTATGCATATAAATTACACTTAATATAACAAGGTCATTCTAGAACTAGTTAATTGTTTACTGTTCTTAATAATATTTAAAGTATACTCTAGAAAAATCAAGTGTTTTTCGCAGACTAAACAGCGAAGATATTTACACTTTTTTATTAAAAATAATGATTGCTAAACGTTTACACATTCGGCCTTAGAAAATCTTCTATTTCCTTTATACGGTAACGTCTCGATTATCCGGTCTTTAATTATATTTGGCCTTTCGTGTTATCTAGTCGCGACTATTACTTTTTGCCTCTTTGATAAACTACTGTTGATCGACTGTTTAAAACTGCGAACAAACATAAAACAATAATGCTCACCCTTCTCTAAGCAGCGTAACCCGTATTTGTTTGCATACAATTATACGGAGACGTGTTTCTATGTGCTTACACTCGACACATATTCTTCACATTTACACTCACGTCCTCCACACTCACACTCACGTTTTCCACACTCACACTCACGTCCTCCACACTCACACTCACGTTTTCCACACTCACACTCACGTTTTCCACACTCACACTCACGTTTTCCACACCTACACTCACGTTCTCTACATATACTCACGTTCTCCACACTCACACTTTCCCTATACATGGTTGCAAATAAACAAATGGAAGCTTTACAAGATTTAATTTCATTGTCGAGCCTATCTAACAATCTATTTTCGAATATAACTCGTGTGTAACACGAGCTGTAGATTATCCAGATATTTCTCGACCCACACCCTCCGGTATAGGCCGGATAATCGAGACTCCACTACAATAAATAGGAAAGAAAACGAAGAAGGAGTAATTTGATAAGAGAATTACGAATCTAGAATGATCCGTGATCTTTTAAACAATTATCCAAAGTGCACGCACCTGAAAAACCGGACAATGGTTTAACAGGTAACACCTGCACTTTCTTATAATTATTTTATAACTGAATGAAAAGGGTTACAATCACGTTATAGTGGAAAACAATTAACTCGAGAAACTTCTATCACGTCCCGTGTCGAAGCAGCTGTCTTTTACTTTTGTTTTCTCACAAATATCATTTGTAAAATGACCTTCGTTTCGTATAAACTAAGCTCAGCTGATATCACATTTTAAATTATTATCTAGGGAGAAAATAAATAAATAAATAAATACTTACCGATACTCCGGAAAATCGGGTAGTTTGTAGCTTCCCTTCGAAGTCTAGAATGCTTAAATCTATGTGTTCTTTTCTAGGATTTATAGAAATTTCGAACTGTTGTTTTCCTAGGAGATCATTGATGCGTATCAGGGACCATGGTTCCTTTCTACCGTTTCTTTTCCGAAAAGTTGAAAGAAAAGAGAACTCTTCCGGTAGTCCCAAAGGGAATATAGATCTAGAAAAGGGAATATTTACTTAACAAGCTAGGGTACAAAGATTAATTTCCCTAATTAGAATTAGAAATAGACCGTATTAATCAACCGTCTGGAAGTCAGACAGTCGACAAAAATCTACTAAATCACGCCATTAGAAAATACCAGATGTGTTTAAAAGATTGTTTTTGCTTATTTAAGTAACTAAAATTAACTCGATAGAATGCTAAGTATTAAATCTGTCGACTAGATAATAGGGAAAAATACTCTTCTCTACCAATCAGATGCTAACCTGGTAGGTGAGGTAAGATGGCTATTTTTTTACTTTCCCTCTGTTGTAGTTTAATAGAAGGATAATATGGCGATCGGTCAAAATAACAGACCTCAAGGTTTTTACATGCAAATACTCGAGAAATGCAAAAAAAAATATTTGGGGTTTTTTCTTGTATGTATGAATGTCAGTGTATGTGTGGAGGGGGGCTCGATTTTTTCGTTCACTTTAAAGCTTAATAACTTCTGTGCATTTTATCGAAAATTTCTTAAATTTTGCACGGAGGTTTGAGTTTTAGGAAGTAATGTTTCTAGTTATTTTCATAAAAATCGGACCAACGGTTCAGGAGATATAGTCCCACCAACTTAATATCTCCCGAACCAATACGAAGACTTAAAAGGGATGAAAACAAATAAAGATACCGGGAAAGTCTAGCAACAACGTTGCCAGTTTTTTTAATAAAGTCCATCGGATGCTGTTTCTAATAGACACTAACCTGGTAGGTAAGGTAAGGTCGGCTTTTTTAGATAGTCTATAGGCAGTTTGCATAGTGTCAGACCCCTTAACTTTCTTAACACCAACGAATTCTCTTCGTTTCTCATCCAACCCGTAAGTTCGAATAAAATCGAAACCTGTAAATTAATTTTTAAATTAAAGGTGAAAGTGAACAGAAAAAAAATATAATAATAATCGCAAAAATTACCTGGTAAATCATCCTGTCCTGGTTTGATTTCCGGACAGATATCGCTAGTTATTTCGTTAAAATTCTCTAAATAACCATTAAACAAAATAGAATTAATAATTAAATTTCCGGTTAAAATTCTATATTTTAAGATATAAATAACATATTTATAATTATAGATATCGTTGTGACAAATAACATTAATAAAATAATTCAGTCGGAACGTAATTAGAAACCGTGTCAAAGTTTCGACAAGTGAGTGTTGCTTCTCGGATTTCTTACATCTGACCACTTTGTTTTGGGCGTTAACGGGAATTCCAAATATTCACAATCTTTATTACCAATGCCAAAAACATCATTCTTTAAGTTACGTTTTCGAACAACGACATCGTTATTCACTGGTCATTCGAAGGGCATAACATTGATTAGTTTAAGAGAGTTTACATTGAAGGTTTATTACGTCTCCGGAAGTTATTCGCTCCACTCCAGATGGCAGCACTTTATGACACATGCCACCCGAAATTAGGTCTCGACCGCGCCATTTTGGACCACCTCTCCCCCTCCGAAACGAGCGATTAATAATCGGCTCAAACTATTCGAAAATTCCCTGAAGTGTCGTAAAGGCTACCGAATTTCTTCTCGTAATTCTTTTCAAATTGTTTAGGGATTTTTATAATTTTAAAAGAAAAAAAAAAGGAATTTAAGTTTGACCTCGGGGTAAAAAGGTTCAAGTCCGATTAGTTGTAGAATAGGTTTTTCAGTAGGAAAAAAGTAACTTAGAATCGACTCGAGCATTCCGAAAAGATTTTGCATGCCAACTCGATTCCCACTTCGGTTTAAAAAAAAAATAAAGTATATAAATCTTATATTAAATCTCAGAAAGAAAATACATAAATTAAGCCAAAAAAAAGGGCTCTAAATTAAGATTTTCGGCCACGTTTTCCTCGTTAAAGTGAATTTCCGAATGGCTACTAATACCCCCCCTCCTAACTATACACCAGATTTTAATATTAAATTATATATTTACTAGTAGCCTCCCCCACCAAATTTGGTAGGTTATAGGGATGTTATTATTATTACTATTATTTTTTTGCATCAGCAAATTACTTTCCCTCTAAGAATGGGACATCAATTGACACGAACGTTCCTAGAATATGTTCTATGGCACATCAATAACAATTTATTTAGCTTACTAAAACACACAATAAGTTTAGTAAATGAATAATAATGGAGGCCGGCAATACAAAAGACAAAGGAGACATTCCAAAGAGGAAGAATCTATCGAGTGAAGATGTAAATATTGTGACTGATGTCTCTGAGAACAAAGAAATGGTTCTATAAAGTCGATTAAGTGCCATGTCCTCTTACATTTGGGTCATCTTCTTGCCTCGGTTCTTACCTGCCATTTTTCTATTGTTTCCTCTATATATATATATATAAAGGAGGAAACAATAGAAAAAAAACGACGATGTTATCTCCCTAAACAACCCTATTTTAATAGAGGGAATAAGAAAGATTTTTTTACAAGATTTTTCATTGGTTGTAAGGATCAAAAAGTCAAGGATAAAAAGCCTAATTTCAGGTATAGTTGGCAGAAGAGATATTTAATATTAAATTCCTGACTTGTGACAAACTTCTCTTACGTCAGCAACGAACAAATTGCGGTGTTGTGTAGGTTCAAGGTTGGTTTAAACAGATACCAAGGAGTGGATCGATCGTTGCTTACTGACTTTATTCGTTCCCAGAATAACTTTATGATGAAAATAAGAAGGAGAAACAAATCTTTTTTTCGACCAATGAGATATCATGTTATAAGGATTTTTAGTAAACGTTGACACTTGACAAAAATTCCCTTCCATCTTTAAACACGAATTCCGGCAACAGGAGTTACTTAAATTAGATATCAATTGTGTAATTGAGAAGGTTAAAGTTCCCTTTCTATTATAAAATATTCGATTAAATAACACAAGAAATACACACTTCAGAATTTATCAATTAAACTCCCTACCGTTACGCTCTCTTCACTTTAATTAAATAGAAAAATGAATTTTTCTAGTATTTAATTTAAATTATTTATTCTAGAATAGTGTTTTGTATATAAAAAAATACGCCTTAAAATAATATAAAACAGTATAAAAATATAAAAATAAGCGGTGTTTACTTACGTGCGGTACTTAACTGTAACGTAAGAAAGCCTACCACCAGGCGTAAGATGCTCCTTATCCTGTATACGGGACGGCTCGGCCTAGTAATAAATTAATAAAAACGTCTGTTAAATGTTAACACGTGTCTAACATGCAGAAAAAGTATGCAAAAATTCGGTTTGATGACCTTTACTAGTGTATTTACATACAGAGAAAGTCGGGTGTATGTTACAGAATCGGATTCTCCCCGAGGAGGAGGATAGAATATAAGATTTAAAAAGGGATTTTATCCGCTTAAAAAGAAAATTCTCTCCCGTTCATCTTCCCATTATTCGATGGCAGAATAAATTGTGATTTAGAATCAAACGTTATCACATAACAGCAACGTTTAACAGCACGTGTCTCGAAAGAAAATTACGACAACCATAAAACATTACTTTTTATGGCTATTTTTTTTTATTTATTTTGTCGATATAGGATAATGACATCCGGGCATAGAAAGAGATGCAATTGGGACAACATACCACATCACTTTCTTTGTCGTGCACTTCCCTCCGACCAGTAAAATAATAAAAAAATATAAAGAAAGCCATAAGGAAACACAAAACGGAATTCATAAGATTAATCAGTAAATTGGTGGTTACACACACGTTTAATATTACATCAACCCCTTCTACACGATAAAGTTCTCTTGATCTTTGACTAGATATGGCCCTAGTCTATTGGACAAAGTACTTTTTCCTCGAATTGTTTATATTATAATTTTATTTTTTTTTATTTTTAAATATAATTTTTATCTGTTGTGACGACTTTTCAGCACACCCACGTCGTCGTCGGTTTCGTAATTTTTCGGCGTGTTTTTTTTTTTTTAATGTTTTCGTTAGAGAAAAGTTAATGAAAATCAACAGGTGTGTCCACGGGGGTTCAACGAGGACACACTACAATCTGTGAAGAGTTGTGTGACGTTTCCTCTAACCCACTTTTTGTTAAGAAATTCTGATGAGTAACACTTCCGGCGACGAAAATAAAATTGTTTTCGGTAGTCGAAGCGGTACCTTTGATTATTATTTTGGCAACATTGCAGATTGAATCACCATTTATTTAAAATTTTCGCTTGACTAGCCTCCTCCTTGGAGGGGGATGATCGAAGCGATTAAAATCCTCGCGTGCATCTTTACGATTTGTTATTTTAAGATCAAATTTGGGTAGTGTCGAGCGTTGGAGATCAGTTAACAGAACGTGCTGAATCTTTTTAATCTCCCTCTTTTTACTTCTGTTCGTGTAGCAAACCAGTTGATATAAATCCGTTAAAGACACCTCATCTTGCCAAAAAGAAAAGAGTTTAAAAAAGAGAAAATTGGAATTTATATGCTATTTGAAACTAATCTTTTAAACTCCTCATTAAAATTATTTTTTAAAGAAGATGCTACTACGTTGAAAACAGCGGATGTAGAATAATAGTGAGATACGTAAAGAGAAGAGGAAGATGAGGATGAGGAAGAGGAGGAGTATTTTAGTCTCGTACGTCCTTTAGAATGTTATTTATAATCCCTGTGTGATTGACAAGAAGTATTCGTCTAGAAAAGCGAGCTTCTTAGTCGAATGTATCATAAAAATAAAATGGAAGAGGAGGAATTACTCGTTCTTCGCCGTTTGTTGGCTATTAAGTAGTAATTATTGTCGTACTGTCAACTAGGTTGGCGGCTCGGAGACGTCGCGGAGGAACTTTGGAGGGTGGGAATTCACGTGTCAAGGTCACTAAGCCATATAAAAGTATGGTACAATAGTCGTCGATAGCTTTTTCTGTCACATTTAATTCACCAATTATTAACAAACGGAGGCGTCAAGTCATTGTTCATATCCTTTTTACGGATAAACAGTTTGTTACGGGCCTACTAAACACCTCCGCGCATTTAATTCTACTTAACAGTTTCAATTAATTCTATTGGCTTTTCTTCTCTCCCTTCCACCTTATCCTTTCAGGTGCTGGTAACTTTCTCAATGGATTAAAATTCCCCAAAATTTCGTTACTATACGTGACAGAATGAATTATATCTTTAAACAAACTGGTCAAAAGGGGTACGAATCAAGACTCGAGTAACTGGTTTGAAGGGGGGAACACGACTAAAATTTCTTCTCGATTTTTCCACTGACAAATTCGACTCGTCTCCAATTAATTCGAGGAAAATTTAAGCTTTATTAATTTTAAAAAATAACAACAAATAAAGTTAATTTACACGTCTGAAGCATCTTCGTTTAGGAGGGTGTTTCGGTTGATTTGTACGACCTCCTTTCGACCACGCAACTAATTAGAGCATTGGAACAAGAAGAAATTTCGTCTTTGGCCTATATCGGTCTCCGTTTTGACCTTAAAATAAATAAAAATATCAATAAAACATCGTAATAAAAGCCTCTCCCAACAATAAAAGGATGGGAATTTATAGGAAAATCCATTGTGAGGTAACAACACCCTCGTAACACCGGGTTAAAAAAGAAATAAATAAATAAAAGTTTAAATGATCCCTTATTTAAAACTGAAAGTGGGACAAAAGTTTAAAAGACTGGCAGTAATCCAGTGTTTATCCTCACAACAGGAGACTATTAAACTGTAGGGAAGGAGACGAGCCATTTGGTTATCTACTGTTTCACCAATACCTCATTAGTCTGAAAGGAGGAGGAGGAGAGAAATTACTGTTTACATAACTTCTTAATTCTATTGGAGCGAGACAAATTTATATAGGAAGAGAAAGAATCTCGAGCGTAGAAAACAAAATAGAACTCGACGAAAATAGGAATATTTGCATGTCCTGTAGACGATTTCGCATTCCTTTCCCCTTGTTGATATTGAAGAGATCGCTCGGGTCAGACAAACATACGGATGCTGAGAAAAATCTATTTACAAAAGAATTATCAAGAAATTCATAGAAGATGTCAAAG